ACCGGAAGAGAAGAATGGAAGTGGTTACAGAGCTTGAGAGCTTGAAACATGGCAGATTTGGGAGAATAAAAAGAAAGAGAGTCTAGGGACACAGAAAGAAATGAAATGGTTTCATTAGAAATCCTGGCGTACCCGTGCTGACGTCAGACGGCGGGGGGCAGAACTGATGCGACACAATGGGGGCGTGATTGGTATGTTCCAAATCTGATGATGATCTCTAATGATAGTGTGATCTCAACAAAGATGTTGAACCTGGATGAGAAAGAACATGATGATTCTTGATTCTTGATTCTTAATTCTTGATGAGTGGACATATGAGTCCTAAATTCTTGGCGCAGACAAGCCATGAACTCGGCCGGAGGAGTACATGTATAGGTTCCATCACCTCAGGATGCCGAGGTAATAGAACCTAGGGGGCAGTTGTAAGGACATAATTTTTGAATGACAACACGTAGCCGAGGTGTCACCGAAGTGCCAGCCGAGGTGCCACGTGTCCTAGTCATGATGCCGAGGTAATCTCGGCTAAGCAAAGGTTATCTGCGAGAATACCGGAATCCGAGATAAGCGAATAAGGGACAAGAGTCCTAGAATGGGAGAAGATTTCAGTTTGGGTAAAGATAAGACTCTTAGAGAGTTTATCCTAATCCTACTGGGAGTCCAAGTTTAGCAGTAATCCGAAGTCCATTGGAGCTAGGCTTCTATTGGGACTACGATTATGTTGGCTATAAAAGAGAGGCACCTTCATGGGTCTAAGGTATGTCTTTTATGCTTTGAACAGTGAGTTTAGCACTATTGATTATCTTTGAGGGATATACTGACTTGATCGTCGGAGTGCCCCCGGGTGGACGAACCACCGCCGGAATCTTCTCCTTCTGTTGCAGGTCAGACAGGTGCCATCTATTTTGCCAGTGCTCTCCAGCTGAATACTGAGTTGGCAGTGTGGTCGGAAAATCACTCACACATTATGCTAACATAAACAACAATGTGTTAGTTTGGTCACAAATATAGTGGGTATATAGAGATGTGAATGTTCACATTAATTTATAATATAAATAGTTAATCACACCTAATGTTAATGTTCACACACTCATGTAACATTGAGTGTGTGTGTAGTTCCATGAGAGGGTGTTGTTACCAGTATTTATTTATAATGTGAATGTTCATATCAACATTTAGTGAGAGATTTTCATAAGCTGGATGATTTAGGATTTTGGGAATGTGAGATATTTTTTACGGAATAAAGAAGAAATTTTCTCCAAGAGAGAGATTTTCTCTTTATTCATGAGGGGGATATTTTCTCCATAAAATAAGGGAGAGATTTTAGAGATTTCTCCCATCCAATGAGGGTCTTGTTATTTTTTATTGTGTATTGGTTTTAAAATAAAAATATGCAGAGAAAGTTAGAAGGGTGATTTGGTCATATTACCCTAAATAAGACCTAATTAAATACTCAAAAAGAAAATGAATTAAATGAAATAAAACACTTAAAAAGAGAATTCATCAAAAAAAATAATAACAAAAAAAAAAATTGACCTAGTATTAAATGGTTAAAGTCAATAATATGTTTCCTGGTAAAGATAAATGTGGTTTGGGGGCAGGCTTTAGCACACTTAAATGGAGCTAATATGTTTGTCCTCTGCTAACATATTTGGTAAGCCTATATGTTTGGTAAGCCCGCCCCATTGTATAACATTTGGTAAGCCTATATGTTTGGTAACCCTGCCTATATGTTTGGTAAGCCCGTATGTTTGGAGCTAATATGGTTAAAGTCAATAACACTTGTTTTCAGGACAGAGAAGATGGGGTCAAGCCAGGGTCAGGTGCTCGAACCCGACAAGTCCCATACCAATGGGGCAACCCTTCCTCAAGAAAAAAGAAACACTTGTTTTCATGATATAATAGTATAGTATAGTAATGTTATTTTATTTTTTAAAAAAATTTACTTACATCAGTTATTCTTATCATAATATCTTAGTAGGTCTATTTTCAAATTTCAAAATATATTGTAGGACAAGTCCTATGGTTTTTTGTATTTTTATTTTTGTTATTAGAAATTAGGCATCTTGCAATTTAATAATATTGGATGTTTTAAAATTATTACGTTTCTTAATTTTTTTATTTTTTTTTTGGATTCTAATAATTTGTTTTCTCAATTCTTCTACTTACAAAAAAAATCATATATAAAACTGAACACAACCTTCTCACATATGTGTGAGACTCCCTTCATTTTAGAGGGTTGTCTCGTTTTGCAATCAATTTCTATGGTCTTAAATTTTTTCTTATTTTTCAGAATGATATCTAAACACTGTGATATCATAATTGTCTTAAGCCTCAAATGTAAGGAAATGGATGACATATTTGTAACAGGTCGCACTGTTTTCTGTTACATGCATTTCTAAACTTCTAACTAACAACAAACTCATCATGAACCTCACTCACATTGTTCACTCATATTGTGTGACAAAAAAGAAACCAAACAGTTAAATGGCTTCCATAACAGTGACAGCCTTATTGCTGGGTGGCTCAGCCGCGGCCAACATCCAGCCACCTTCGACAACCAGCCTCTGCCACCGGGGGGGTTGTCATGGTTGAAGGCCTCAAAGGTGAGTGAAGATGGTGCGAGTTTCAAGAATAAGAGAGGCTGAGGGAGGAGGGCGGTGGTGTTTGGTGGTGCAGCAGCCGTAGTAGCAGGATAGTTAGTGGCAGAAGTAGCAGCGGTGGCAAATGATCCAAAGGCTGGGACCTTTGAAGCTATAAGAAGAAGTATGCACCAGCCTGCAATGCCAACAGCTCGTATTTGCCACAAGTGAAAGGGTTTTCATTGGCATCATATTATATGTATGTGTGTGTGTGTGTGTGTGTATATGGTGGCTTGCTTTGTTGATTAATTGGTCTATGATGATAAATAAAATGCATACAAAGTTGTGATTTTTATATGGCTATTTTAATTGTTATGTATTCTCTTGATTGTTCTCCACATTTGATCATCTTGAGTTCAATTCTCTACACAGCTGAGCATCCAAAGGGCAAATTATATTTTCACTCTCCAATTTTTACTTGAATTTCATCTCGGTCTCTCATTATCTAATTGCAATAATTGATTTTAATGCGATCTTCCTAGCACCTCAATGTTTAAAATTTAAATAAAACTTGAAATATGTGGAACTAAAAGGTAATTTGATTAAAAGTTAGAAGGTGAAAATTATAATTTACTCTATTGTCCCATAATTTGCTCCTCAAATGTTTGTAACACATCTGTCACCTCAATGTTTAATATTTGATAAAAAGTTCACATATGTAAGAACCAAAATAAAATTCGAATGAAAGTTGAAAGATGAAAAATGTTATCCATCTCCATTTTCTCCCCTCTCTAACGTCTTTAAAACATGCTCACATAGTCCTCCCATGAATACGCATCATCAAAATTCTAAATGGTAAGTAACAATAAAGTCACATTGAAACATAAGTTGAAATTTGAGAACTTAAATATTAAGATTAAAAACTAAAAGATCAAAAGTGAAAGTCAAGTAAAAATTAGGCAAAAATTCCAATTTACCCTCGTCAGAAAGATATAAACTTCATCACTAGATTTTATTTTAACATTGGTAAGAGAAAGTTGCATCATACAATAAAACTTGAACTCGGATATAACACAAAACACCTCATACACCAAGTCACTAGACCATTGAACAAATTTTTAACTTTTTAACCTTACATCACCAATTGTAATAGGCATTGCTCTCATTAGCACGGAAAAGAAACACTAACATAGTAATACTATGTTTGGTTCATTAGAATAACTGAAATGAAATTATAGTTCCATTATTATGTTCATTCTCACGTTTGGTTCACTAAAAAAAAATTATGGCAAATACATTGTAAATGATATCATTATTCATCATAGAATGATTTCTATACGGAGGGCATTCCATATTCCAAGCCTTGCTTATATAGTTAAATTACCCTTCACCTAGATACGAGTGCATTGAGTTTTTCAGTGCATTCAAAAAGAAGCGACAAATTTACTCAATAAAGCTGAAAAAATAGCTTTTAAAGCGTGTTTAGCAAGAATTTAAAGGACCAAAAAGACAACAATATATTGGCTTCTCATTTGGTAGATGATTTATTAGTTTTGGGACTACATTCTGATGAATAAATTAGGTTGGGAAACAATACTCATTTGCATCCACTGACGTTTCTGCAATTTTTGTTAGTTTCCTGTCTAAGAAAGTTTGAAGCAGACTTGATATCTTTCTCAGCGTTGTAGCTAAGTTTAAGTTGATTCAAATTCGAAATTTTTGTGTCCCGAATTGTCATTATCTTAATGCTAATCTGCAATCTGCCATTAACGTACCTGCATTGGTGTCCTATAATCAATCTGAGGCCACGATACACGAGGGTTGTGTTGATTCAGATATTAATGTCAGGGTAAGAAGTTAAAAGCCATTGTTCCTGGTGGGTATTTATTTGAAATTTTAGAAGTATTTTGACTGTAAACAATCTAGCCTTGTCTATCTGTCTGTCCTACGTATGGAATTTTCAGGCTGCATTACTTATAATATATCTCCTATACATATCATCTCCTGTTCTTTTATATTGCTTTCTCTAAGAATTTCTTTCTAATCTACTTCCATTTCATACATGAACTATAGGTATTTTATTGTCAAAAGTTGCAATCGTGAAAATTTGGAATTATCGGTAGAACAAGGAGTATGGGCAACTCAACGGAGCAATGAGGCTAAACTGAATGAGGCTTTTGACTCTGTGGAAAACGTTATCTTGATCTTTTCAGTCAACCGGACTCGACATTTCCAGGTAGGATTTGGGTTTAGTATCCTGTAGTTGTGCAAATTGCAGTCTGGACTATTGTGGTTCTCTGTAAACAGGTTCTATACAGTACACAGCTTGCTAGGTTTTAAAGGAATTCTATTGCATAAGGCAAAGTATTACCTTTTTCTTTATGAGAGATATTGAGTATGAATCTGTCAATGATTTGCTAGGGTTGTGCAAAAATGACATCTAAAATTGGTGGCTCTGTTGGTGGAGGGAACTGGAAGAATGCACATGGAAGTGCTCATTATGGGCGGAATTTCTCTGTCAAATGGTTAAAGGTACGTTATTTTAATTATCATGTTTATTAGATTTTAGAATTTATTTAGTAGTCAACACCACATGGTGTTTCTTGTCCTGAATCTGTTACCATATTAAGTTTGTCATTCACTCAAGTGTTACCATCATATGTTCTTATCGTGTTATGGATTACTGTCAGAGATAGGTGAGAAAAATGAATCAGGTTTAATTTATGGATTACTAGTTAATGGAATTTGGTATCTTTACGTCTTTTTCGTTGTTGGGTGGCTTTATCTCATGGAATATTATTATGTGTTTTTTCTAGTAAATTCTCAAATTGGGTTTCTATGATAAGCATACATACAAACTGATTGCTCACAATCAGAAAACTAGGATTTTTTTCTAAGCAAATAAAAGTTGCCAAAAAAGGGGCACAAGATACTAGGAGAAAAAAAAAAGAAACTTTACAACATCAACAAACGATAACTCCACTATAAATGAAAACAGTGTAACAGTGCCATTATAAGAGTATATATCTTTTCTCTACATCATCAAATGTGCTGATTTCTTTCCCTCCAAATGCACCACATCAGACACAAAGGTGCTGCTTTCCATTAGCAAGCCATTTTTGTTGAGCAACCTCTTGAAAATTAATCTTTAATCCTGACGCATCACAAAAATATTATAAAAACCGAAGAAGACACCAAACCTCCTCTGGACAAAACTCCATAAAAATGAAAATATCATCAATGAAAAGAAGATGTAAGACTGGAGGTGAATTCCGACTGATTGAAATTCCTCAGCAAATATTATTTGAACCCAAGATGTAAGATTGGAGGCTCGGGAGCTTTAAGTTTTCCCATTTGAAAAAGGGAGTTAGTGATCTCAAAACCAATAAAAGGCTTATCTAGCAAAGATTTATGTGTAACAGAAAGATGGAATTTGACAGCATTCAACACATTAAAATTAACAGAATCACCAGAATGAAAACATTGGTCCAGAGTTGAGGTTGATGCAATATTAGCATTGAATAGAGTGGTAAAATGTTGGACAAACTGGTGTAGAATTTGTTCCTAATCCATGATAATAGATCCATCCTCAAGCTGTAGACAAGCAATTCTATTTCGTTGTTTCCGTCATGTTACCATCCTATGAAAAAATTTATAATTTCGATCTCCATTAGCCTGCAGTGGTGGTCAAGCAATTGCAGTCATCTATTTCAGAGCTGGGTATGCACCAACTGATTATCCCTCAGAATCAGTGAGTAGATTCACTTTTGCAGAATCAAGTTTTTGTCATAAAACTAAAGCATCAGCATAACAAAAGTTTAATCTACAAACAGAATGAGTATTGCATTCTTCCGAAGCTACCAGCCAAATTACTTTCGAACTTTGCATTGATCGATATCTGGATAAATTAAAAATTCCATGAACTGAAGTGATGTGATGATAAGTTTCTGCCAGTTGTTGTCTCTCCCTAGGAAATAATAGCAAGCTCAGGCTCATTTGTTGAAGAGGCTAATGCTGCTGATCTAATACAGCGTAGACAGCGTTCTGAGTTTCAGTGTAAGTACTCTGTTGAAGAGGCTAATGCTGCTGATCTAATACAGCGCATACAGCGTTCTGAGTTTCAATGTAAGTACTCCAAACTGTTGGTGTCATTTTTGTTTTCTATTCTTTGTTTTCATTTTTCAAAAAACACAGAAAACTTGTTAGGTAAAGTGTTTCCAGAAAAAAAGTTCTGAAAACAACCCAGTTTTAGGAAAACACCAAATAGTTGTTTTCAAATTTTAGAAAAATTTTGGAAGTGATGGATGACTTTGAACTTTTCATTGCTTTTGTTTCTGAAAACATGAAAAATGAAAATGATACCAAATAGTTATGTACATTTAACATTGACGGTGTCTATTGAATTAACATTTTTTCTTTGACAGCAAGTGTGAAGGGGACCCTTTTTACAGCTATAAAGGTAAATCCCGCCATCATGCTTAATGAAATTGATCTTAATGCAATGCATATTTAGACCTGATTTTACAGATTTAAAACCTACAATGCTTCATTGATTCTTGATGTGCCGATTTCAGGCAAACCCAGATCTTGTTCCATCCTTATTGACTTTGGCGATGAATGATGCTATGACTTATGATAAGGTGAGAAAGAGTTTTACTTGTTGACAGTTTGAGATGAAAGTAGAAATTTATATTATTCCTAAACATTACATATCAAGAAAGCTCATATGATTCTAATTGAGTTTTGCAGGCCACAAAATCTGGTGGCCCAAATGGATCTGTACGTTTCAGGTACTTCTAACATATAGCATTACCACGCATAAGTATGTAGTATTAAAGAATAAAGTAAAAGAATGAAATTCTGCATTCTATCAAAAATTAGGATTGGTATTTCATGTACAGTGAAGATTTTCACCAAACCAAAGATGATTCATCTATTATGTTTTGTTCGGGCTTATTTTTTAGGGATTTTAATGCCAATTCACAAAATGTCCCTATTATTTCAGTGTCGATGATAAGCAGATGTATTAAATGTGGTAAAAAAAGGTTATGGAATATGAAAATTATGTTAAATTGTCAAAATTGTATTGAGGTTTTGGATCCTGGATTTAGTTGGTTTAGGCATCAGAGTTTCCTTTTATTTGCGTCTTTTGGCTGAACTGCTTTCACTCCTTGCTTCTTATTTTTTCGGTTAGAAGTTTTTAAGTCAATGCTGAAATGTTACCTTGATGTTTTTTTTATTATTTTTTCTTGTCAATTATATTTTCTTGCTTGAAGCTCAGAGATTAGCAGACCAGAGAATAAGGGGCTCTCCGCCGCAATGAATTTATTAGAGGAAGCAAAGAAGGAAATAGATTCATATTCCAAGGGTGGTCCTATTTCATTTGCTGATCTCATCCAATTTGCAGGTTGCATGTCATACTTATCACCAAGTTTGTCCTGTACACTACCTACATGGCCATTAACTTGCTCAGATACTCTGGAATCAGTCATCGTATTTATGTGGAGTGTACTCTATAAATCATTTGTTTTTACCAATATGTTCATCATCAAATTTATGGTAGATGAATAGACTATAGTGTGTGCACAATTGCACATGGAGTCTCTGTGTATTTATGTGGAGTCTCTGTGTATACACATTTCATATGTGGTATCCATTATGCTTTACCTCGCTTAACTCAAATTATCAAATTTGCTACGAACACAGAAACTGGTCAAAGAATTTACATGATTTGTTAATGAGATCCACTTTTGAAAAACTATATTCGGCCATATATATTTTGTGTCCAATGTTGTGATCAGTTATTTCAAAATTATTAGGGGACGTGGATGTAATGGATACAATTGCTTTTTGTAACTACAGTGGGGCTTGTTTGACAAGCAATTTGGGAGGTCAGATGCTCAAGAGCCAGGTCCAGAAGGGAGGGTTCCCCTGTGGGTAAAAGCAAAGTGTTCAGGAAATGAAAGATAAGTTCTCGGCCATAGGCTTTGGTCCCCGCCAGGTATTTCAATTATCATGACATCAACTGGCAGAAACTTATCATCACATCACTCCAGCTCATGGAATTGTTAATTTATCCAGATATCGATCTATGAAGAAATACACTCATTTAAATTCTCATCCTCTTCTTTTACACTCTTTATTTATGTGTTTTTCCTTTCCATTTATTTGGTAAGTAAGCATTTCGTTGATGCTAAATCTGGATTTTCCTATAACACTTGAATATTATCATTGGAGTCACATAGCTCTATTGTCACATGATATATCTAAGGCTTTCATATGTGTTGTCTTTATGTAGTCAATAAGTGTTGAACAGGAAAAATGGGTTTAGGCGGCAATATGGTTTACTAGGTATAAAAGTGGGGTTCTTGGATCAAAGCCGATCAACATGGTTGAAACCAGATGATATTCTGTATTTATTATGTTTTTCTGCTTTGTTACCGTTCATGTTTGATTCAAATTCATGATCACGTAATTCATTCTCATATTCAATGATAAGCTTGGGACAGGTGGATGTGCCTGTTTATGCAGCAGGAACTGGTGTTAAACCTGCAGAAATAGCTAGGCAAGGTCTAGAAGAGGCCAAAAGGAAGAATATGGATGTGGTCATAGTGGACACAGCTGGAAGACTTCAGGTTATATCAGCTATCTATTTGGGGCTACTTTTAATAAGATCTGTTTTTTTAATAAAATAATAATAATTATTATATATGTACTTTTCAACCTTATTTTAACTGATCTATCTTCTTTTTTATATGTGCATGTGTTTGACCCTGAAATGCTGCACCAGTTTTACCACCCTAAGGGATATGAGTTAACCATTGGGGTAGAAAGTTCTGTCATCTTCTTCTTCGAGGACTGTTTTCATGTCAACTTTTTCCCCTTACAAACACACATTAATGTGTACTAATTGGACGTTATTTTTTTTTACTGTTTTCATGTCAACTGAGAGAATTAAATAATCAATGATATCTTCTAGGATAATGTAAAGCTCCTCACTCATTTGTATTTATTTCTTTTGAAGGTTTGGTAGAGGGAACTAGAAGCTCATCTTAAATTCAGATCGTGACATATTTGAAGAGAGAACCGAGGTGAGAATTTTTTATGGTTGTGCCTTTTTTCTGCTTTAATATTATTTTTCTTTATGTTAACATAAGGGCTTCTTTTGTTTAGGTTGATTTGAAGGACAAGTGGAGAAATATGATACATTACTGACTCTTAAAAAAAGAAGATGGTCTGCAGTTTGTATAAACTCTTTACTTATCTAAAGAAGATGGTCTGCAGTTTGTATTATAGGAGGGTTCTTGCATGTTGATTGATTCTTCATAGTTTTCTACTCTACTTGATGGGTCTTCAAAAAGGAAAAAGAAAATATTGATTGCTTGAATACAATGTTGGTGCATCAGATTTCTTCTTCTTCTTCTACTATTATTATTTATTTATAATTTTTTTTTTGAACTTTATACCAAATGTGTTATGTGATGGATAGATGAGAGTGTAATCATGTTACTAATCGGTATAATAACATGTCAAGAGCCTCATTATTTTATTTTTAATTTTGTTTTCAAACTTAGTTTATTTATTATTTTAATAAACATCAATTATTAGTTCTTAATAATTGTTTATGACAGGTATTTTTTTCAACCATATAAAATTAGCCCAACGTTAAAAATAAAAATAAAAAAAATTAAGGCTATGGCGGCTTTTTTTGAACGTCACTATATTCTTACCCCAACGGTCTGATTTTTAAAATGTATAAATGTCTTTAACGGCGTTTCCAAGACGTCGCTATATGTCACAGGGTGTCACAATACAATTAGGTAGGACATTTGGCGGCGTTTTTAAAAACGCCGCCTATAATAATATAACGACGTTTTTCAAACGCCATAAAGAAAATATAAGAAATACACAAAAAATACATTGTATGGCTGAAACTCATCTTGAATATGTTCTCTTTTCTATATTTCAATTTTGTTCAGTTAGCATTATTGTAAAGAGAGGCTTTGCCCTCCTTTTTATTTTTATTTTTATTTTTATTTTTATCTTTTTTAAATATTTTTATTTTTATTTTTTTATGGAGCTTTGTTTGTTTGTTTGTTTGTAGGGAAGTTGGGACCCAATTGGTTCACGAGACCCATATAGCTAATGGACACAAAATTCATGAGCTGTGTCACTCTATTGACCACCACAAATTTCATGAGGTATATCACACTACGAGCAGTAACCGAATTGGAGGTAGTGTTTGCATGTGTTGTTATGTTGCCCACATTAACGGTATGAATCTCTATTTTTAATTTTTAATTTTTAATTTTTTTTTCTTTAATACATTTTCAATCTTATGACCAACATAGAAATTTTTATTTTTCAAAACTCTTACAATATCTTATGGTTGAGAATACAGTTGTACCATTGTGTCTCAAAATTTTTGTGTTTCAAATTCTCACTTATAGTTGATATAGTTTCTGTCATACAATCATTTCTCGAAATGTCTATTTTTTTCACAATTTTCACAACATCTTACTATTGAAAATACAATTATATAATTGTGTCTCAATATTTTTGAGTTTCAAAACTTTTGCCGTTGATACAAATTCATAGTACAGAGATTTTTCTTCTTCACAAGACATTTAAAGTGGTCCAAATAGATGTCAGAAAGTTCTTCATGTTAATCTACAAGGGAAGGGACAACAAAATCACGGGATGATTGGCCATGGTCCCAAGAATTATCTCATTTTTGTCATATGTTCAAGTCGGTCGAAAAGTATCCTATATTGTATGATTATGATAGTATAGTATTCAAATTCGCCAGTAAAAATTTGATAATCCAACGTATCACTAAAAAGTTATCTGATCGGTCGTTAATTTCAAGAATTTGAGTTTAGTAGACATCATTACTTCAAGAATTCGAGATTAGTAGACATACATGCAAACTGGTCTAAACCTTTGATATAAAATGAAAATAAAAAATGAAAAAAATTATAGTATAGTATTCATTCATTCATCATAATCAACAACCAGAGAACAGAACAAAAACATTCTTAAGAGTTGTTTGAAATATTTTAAATAAGTACATTTTTTAACTTCTTATGAAATATTAATTTGATTTGAAGTGATATGTTAGAGAAGTAATGTGACTTAAATAAGATAGCGACTTTTCAACTTTTTGACTTTTTTAAAAGATGTCAAACGTCTTGACTCTCGACTTTCTTTCTGTGTTCTCACAGTTGGCCTAAGCAAGGTTGATTTCTTGTACTTCCATTCTTGTGGTTCTTTTCCTTCCAAATAGTTCAGTATATTATATAGTTCTTGTGAATATTTTTTATGACACAATTAATTAAAAGTGAATGTATGAAAGTAGGTTTTTAATGTACATGAACACTGACCTCTTTCTATATATAGGTTACTTATTACCTTCGGTAAATAAAAGATAAATTCACTAGGATTTATTCTCTTTTGGATAAATTATTTTATCTTTAAACATACATTTTTTTATGTTTTGATTCATAAAACTAATGAATTACTAATAAAAAAGAGTAACAGTGATGTAAATTAAAACCTCAAGAAAGTATAGTGTAATTATGTTAAAAGTATGCGACTAGTTGTATTTTCTCTAAACTTCAAAGGAAGTGAATGTGATTTACCCAAAAAAATATCATTCCCCCCCCCAAAAAGGAACATAATCATCAACAACCGGTGTGAGGGTGCTGGATGAGAATCTGCCCAAACTCAATTAGAACAAATCACACAGAATAGGAACAAGGTACAAACACAAATCTCTCTACAGTTAAAATCACAGTGCCTCTTTAATGGCACGAATCAAGCTTCACATTACATAATAATCTTGCAACTAATCAATCACCTATTATACAAAAAGATTCTACAAAGAATGGATCCATCTATACAAAATCAACAAAGAGGGGAAGAAAAAAAAGGTGTGGCTGCACAGGCCTCAATCATAAAGTCATAATGCTGTCATATAAACAGATTTCTTACCTGATTTCTTAATCGGTCCTTCTTTACCAAAACCAAATTGTAACATGTATCCTCAGTTGATGCCATGTGTCCTCCCATCTGTATGTATCTGGGGCCAATGAAGTGCATTGAGATTCTCTAATTTAGATGGAATCCAAAATTGGCATGAAAGTGGGAAAGAAAAGATGTAAATAGGGGGTTACTTCCAGAGAACCTCAATGATCTGAGTTTTCAAAAGCTTTTATTCACAGAAGCTCTTTATCATAAAATGCAAGAAGCTGTTTTACATGATTATGCCAAGCAGCAACATTTTGCCCATCAACACTAATCCAATCAACGACAGTTGATGCCGGTTGTTCCCACCATTCATCAAGCTGCATATAAATGTCATAATATGAAACTTTGAAAAAAAAAAAAAAAAAAAAAAAAAAAAACAAAAACGGCACAAAAAAAAAAAAAAAAAAAAATTTAATTAATTAATTAATTAAACATACAAATTATGATTAAAACAAATTGTTACAATTTGTATAAATTATTTCACAAAAACATATTTCAAACATTACACATATCATTTTTTTACAAAAATAAAGCTTGCGTTTATAATTTTTTTGTTATCAGTAAACCTAATCCCAAAATAAAAAACATGGTTAAAAAAAAAAATTTGAAGCAGTATAACCAAAAAAAAATTAATCAAAATGTACTATATTTCGACAGGGATTTCTAAGTGCAAATGGACAAAATTGTGAATTACTACACCTCATTTAAATAAAAAACCTAAACAAATTGAAACTCACAAAATCGAAAGAGACAACTGCAAATTTGGAGAATCAACCTTCGAATCTTCAAGAATCAACCTTCGAATCTTCGACAAACGTCATAGATCTGATGAAGAGATGAGTACAGAGAGTGAGAATGAGACCGAGAGTGAGAGAGAATTTGAGCGAGAGCGAAAGTGAGACTGAGATTGAGAGAGACTTTGAGCGAGGGTGAGAGTGAGAATGAATTCGAGCAAGAGTGAGAGGGAGGGAGGGAGAGAGTGAGATAGGATATGTAACGGCGTCAGATATGCACCACAACAGCACTGTTTTGAAATTTAATTAACACAGTACTGTAGTTTTTAATTTTTAATTGATCAATGATGGCGTTTTAATAAAAATGCCATAAAAAAAACGTTGCCGTAGCTTCTTTTTGTTGTAGTGGGGCTAGCTGTATTCTTTGTTCTCTCTAACTTTCTCTCTCATCCCTTATAATTGTCTTTGTATATTGTTCTAAATATTTTAAACGGATCATTGTATGATTATTACATAGTGTGAATATTTATATATCACTGATTATTGTATAAGTTTACATAATTTTTACATGATTATTATATAACGTAAATGTTCACATTATATGGAGTCATTACTTGTTGTTGATTGTCACATGTAATGTGTTGCAATTGACGTTGCGATCAACACATCATTAATCAATATTAATATTCACATTCAAGAATAGTCATACATGCGCAAACAATAATATGTTAATATTTACATTCAAAAATAGTTATACTAACATAAACAACAATGTGTTATTTTGGTCACAAACATAGTGTGTATATAGAGATGTAAATGTTCATATTTAGGGGTTGTTTGGGATGACCTAAATAAGTGCACTTTTTGATTTTTTGGACTAAAAAGTTGAGGAAAAAATATGCTTGTTTGGGTTAACTTTTTGACTTTTTATAGAAAAATGTTTATTAAAAAATTGTATAAATTAGTGTGTAGGGGACAATTAGGATTGGGAGTTGTGCAGTCGTAATTTTTGACTTTTGGTGAATAGTGATAACTTTTTAACTTTTTGAGTAATTTTTTAACTTTTTGACTTTTTCGCCACATATCAAACTTGGCCTAATTTTATAATACAAATAGTTAGTCGCACCCAATGTTAATATTCACACACTCATATAACATTGAGTGTGTGTATAGTTCCATAAGAGGATGTTTTTATCAGCATTTATTTATAATGTGAAAGTTCACATCAATATTATGTGAATCTTTACCTCAACATTTAGTGAAAGATTTTTAGAAGTTAAGACAATTTAGGATTTTGAGGATGTGAAATATTTTTTTGTAGAATAAAGAAAAAAATTTCTCCATGAAACGGGTGATAGATTTTCTCTTTATTCATGAGAGAGATATTTTTTTCATAAAATAAGGGGGAGATTCTTTTTTTTTCCTAAAATGAGGGAGATTTTTTCCATACAATGAGGGTCTTGTTATTTTTTATTATGTATTGGCTTTAAAATGGAAACATGTTGGAAAGGTGATTTAGTCATATTACACTTAACAAGACCTAATGAAATACTTAAAAAAAAAAAATTAATTAAATAGAATAAAACACTTAAAAAGATGATTTATTAATAAATAAATAAATAAAATGACCCAGTATTAAATGGTTAAAGTCAATAATAACGTTTTCTGGTAAAGATAATAGTGGTTTGGTAAGAGCAGGCCTTAGCACATGTAAAGGGAGCTAATATATGTTTGTCCTCTATCATGTTATTCCTTCCTCTCTGTGTGATTTGAATTTTAAATTACCTAATATTATTGGAATAAATATATCTTTACGATACCGTTTAACGTAGTGCCACCAACCAAGGGAAGAGAAGACGGGGCAGGAAAGAGAAGATGGGGTCAAGTCAGGGTCAGGTGCTCGAACCCGAGAAGTCCCAAACCAATGGGGCTACCCTTCCCAAGAAAAAAGAAACACATTTTCATGCTATAATAGTAGAGTAATGTTATACAAATTAATACATTTTATTTTTATAAAAAATTTACTTACATCAGTTATTCTTATCATAATAATATCTTAGTAGGTCTATTTTTAAATTTCAAAATATATTGTAGGACAAGTTTTATGGGTTTTTGTATTTTTATTTTTGTTATTAGAAATTATGCATCTTGCGATTTAATAATATTGGATCTTTTAAAATTATTAAGTTTCTTAATTTTTTATTTTTTTAGAAACCTAATAATTTGTTTTCTCAATTCTTCTACTTAAAAAAAAAATAAAAAATAAATAAAAACTACATATAAAACTGGACACATCCTTTTCACATGTGCGAGACTCCCTTCATTTTAGAGGGTGGTCTTGTTTTGCTATCAATTTCTGTGCTCCTAAATTTTTTCTTATTTTTCAGAATGATATCTGAACACTGTGTGATATCATAATTGTTTTAAGCCTCAAATTAAATGTAAGGAAATGGATGACATATTTGTAACAGGTCACACTGTTTGCTGTTACATGCATTTCTAAACTTTTAACTAACAACAAACTCATCATGAACCTCACTCACATTGTTCACTCATATTGTGTGACAAAAAAAACAAACCAAACAGTTAAATGGCTTCCATAAACTGACAGCCTTATTGCTGGGTGGCTCAGCCGCGGCCAACATCCAACCACCTTCAACAACCAGCCTCTGCCACCAGGGGGGTTGTCATGGCTGAAGGTCTCAAAGGTGAGTGAAGATGGTGCGTGTTTAAAGAATGAGAGAGGCAGAGGGAGGAGGGCGGTGGTGTTTGGTGGTGCAGCAGCCATAGTAGCAGGATCATTAGTGGCAGAAGTAGCAGCGGTGGCAAATGATCCAAAGGCAGGGACCATTGAAGCAAAGAAGAAGTATGCACCAGTCTGTCAATGCCAACAGCTCATATTTGCCACAAGTGAAAGGGTTTACGTTGGCATCATATTATATATATATATATATATGGTGGCTTGCTTTGTTGATTAATTGGTCTATGATGATAAATAAAATGTATATATGGCTATTTTAATTGTTATGTATTCTCTTGATTGTTCTCCACATTTTGATCATCTTGAGTTCACATCTCTGCACAGCTGACCACCCATCCAAATTATCCAAATGGCAAATTATATATTTTCACTCTCCTATCTCGGTCTCTCATTATCTAATTGCAATAATTTATTTTAATGTGATCTTCCTAGCACCTCAGTGTTTAAAATTTAAATAAAACTCGAAATATGTGGGACTAAAAGGTAATTTGATTAAAAGTTAGAAGGTGAAAATTGTAATTTACTCTATCGTCCCATAATTTGCTCCTCTAATGTTTGTAAAACATCTGTCACCTCAATGTTTAATATTTGGTAAAAAGTTCAAATATGTAAGAACCAAGATAAAATTCGAATGAAAGTTGAAAGATGAAAAATGTGATCTATCTCCACTTTCTCCCCTTTCTAATGTCTTTAAAACATGCTCACATAGTCCTCCCGTGAATACTTTTCATCAAAATTCTAAATGGTAAGTAACAATAAAGTCACATTGAAACATGAGTTGAAATTTGAGAGCTTAAATATTAAGATTAAAAACTAAAAGATCAAAAGTGAAAGTCAAGTAACAATTAGGCAAAAATTCCAATTTACCCTCGTATAAAACTTGAACTCGGATATAACACAAAACACCTCATACACCAAGTCACTAGACCATTGAACCAATTTTTAACTTTTTAACCTTACATCACGAATTGTAATAGGCATTGCTCTCATTAGCACGGAAAAAAAACACTAACATAGTAATACTATGTTTGGTTCATTAGAATAATTGAAATGAAATTATCGTACCCATTATTATGTTCATTCTCACGTTTGGTTCACTAAAAAAAAATTATGGCAAATACATTGCAAATGATATCATTATTCATCATAGAATGATTTCTATACGGAGGGCAAAGAATGAGTACACCATTCCAATTCACCTCCATTCTAGAAAACCGAACGCTACATTATGTTCTTGGCTAGTTGACAATAGGAGCGTGAACACAAACCTAATGGCTACAACATCACACTTCGTTGAGGAATAAACACAAACCTCTCTGGTGATCCATTACTTAAGGAAAAAACTTGGAAACTAAAGAAAATAGAATGCAAAATCATGTCTAGATACACAGAAACACAAATAAAACTAAATGCAAAAGGTACCAAAATCCAATCTCCACTTGTTTCAGCTGTTGCTGAATAGTACTAGCAGGGAAAGTGGGCATGGGTTAACTTTTTCTCACCTTCACCATTTAGTTGGTAAGCAATGAAATGCGAATGATTTCCATAGCTAATAGATGAGCATTATTGTTTTGGAGCCTTGCAAGTTCACCAAAGCCGCATTAGTCTCTTTAAAGAGCTTCAAGTTCATCTACTGGACCTTCTTCCCATTTGTCAACCAATTCCTGGAGTTTCTCAAATCCCTGATACAAATAATTATATTCTGCATTAACCCCTAGCCTAAATTGTCTATTATCCCACATGAAGATTTGTAATGGTGTGAAGACAATAGAGACAAATCCAACAATCTCTTATGCAGGTTGCCTAAAAGGACGATAAATTAGAATTTTAAATTGATTACTCACCATGCGATTTGTGAAGCCGCCGAATGATTCTTTTGACTGCTGCTTCCGCTTCCAATAGTAAAACAAAGGTTCCAAAACTTTCTCAAGCTCCTGCACCTTAACCTTATTCATAAAGCATTTTGCCAGCGAGGTTTGATTGGGTGTTCCCCCGAGCCAAATCTGATTAAACACAACAAATGCATTCAATATGATTTCACAAGTCACCCACTTGGGATGAGGGGTTCTGAGACCCAATAAAAATTGAAATTCAGGTACATCAAAACTTGAAATACCTGATAACAATTAGGACCATCACCAACTAATCCAAGTTCAGCCATGTAGGGTCTAGCACAACCATTAGGACAACCAGTTATCCTTATCACTATAGATTCATTATATTCAAGACCAACCTGAAATCATAAAAGTCCATCTGGTTAACAAGCGTCATTACCCAATCTAACAATATGACCTTAATCAAAAACCTTTTCCAGCTGCTTTGCTGGATTTCTTAATACTTGTAGCTTCATTAATATACCTTCTCAAATACGGCACGAACCCGCTTTAGGATGTCAGGTATTCCACGCTCAGCTTCAGTTATTGCCAGAGGGCAAAGTGGAAAAGCTGGGCATGCCATTGCAGTTACGTTGAGGGGATCTACATCCCTAGGATGCTGCCCACGATTAGCAGTGTAAGAAATTCTGCTTTTTTAGCTCTTAAACAGTTCATAAGCCAAAGGCAAAAAAAGGAAGAAAAGTCTTCATCAACAAAATACACCTCCATTATCCATCTAACTCTAAAGAACATGATCTGAGTTAACAAATTCAATAAAAGACTTCAATTACAATGAGTAGAAAAAGGTTTCAGAAGGAAGGTCACAAATTAGTTGATCCTACATATCATACAAATTCGACAAGTGGATCCTTTTTTCTTTTTTTTTTTTGGTTACAAACTTTGGGCCTGTTTGGTGCAGGATTTTGAAAGCTAAAAGTTGTTAATCAAAATGCAAAAGCCAAAAGCACCCCTCTTCCAAATTCAAGATAATCAAAAAAAAAAAAAATCATTTTATTTAAGCTATTTCTTCCTAATAAGTTGTAAGCTTCAAACAGTTTGACACAAACTCACAAAAAAAAAAATGAAAAATAATAATAATAATAAACTATACGCAACTCATATAAACTGCACCAAATGGCCTCTTTATGAGGGGATTATTTGCATAATCTGATTGACGCTAGAAACATTTTATCAGCAATAGGTGTTTTGAATGTGCCATGTACTATAAAAAATTTGAATGGACCATGGAAAGCACAAACATTGAAATGAACTTGTTCATAGCTAGATGAAATAAACTGGGATATCTCTATTTCTGCATTTCTATGGCTGCCAAGAGAATGACAGAAAAAGTCTACACCACTCCACAAACATGAAAGCAAACCTGTGAAGTAGTTCCCTAACAATCTTTCAAATGTGAAAATAAAAATTTAAAACATTTGTGAATATTTTATCAAGTGTGACAATTAATTACAGAGTCCCTTTAGTTGGCTTCAGTCAAGAATACCTCTCTACTCAGAATCTACTTTTTACTTGAGAAAATCTTCCTCAGGACTAAATTCTATCAAACTTAACATTGGAATGGAAAAATAACTGCCAAATTTACATCAAACTGAAACTCCTAATGGCAGTGGAACTTCTAACACATTCAGCTCCTGCACATCCAAGCGTCATCAGCTAATATTAATTTGTTCCATAACATCCATACTAACATTGAACCATGTAGTCATGTTGACAATCGGTCTCAACACTAGCGAAAACATATATACTCCTATTTGGATGAAAAAGGACATAACTATCTTAATTCATCACATCCATAAGAATGCATAACAAAAATTTTAAATGTCTTACCAGCAGACCACCCTGTGCAAGAGCTGTGGTAATCGGGTCCCTCCATTCTTGGCCAATATCACACAAGATCATGTTCTGGTTTGGTGTGATTCGCACATTCAAGTTGTACTTCTCAATAATTTCCCTTAATGTCTTCTTCATCGTCCCCTTAATACGACCATTATCAACATGGAGCCCACAAAATAAACCACCATCACCCTGCAAAAACATTTAAACAATCATAAATACACAGCAAAGAAAAGTCTCGTCATTTTTCAATACATGAAGGAAAAGAAAAGTCAGAAGGAAAAGATTTATCGCACAGGTAAGGGAATGAACATATATATTAAGAATTAATCCTGATTGTAGCAAGGAAAAAGAAAATCCATAAAAACAATCATGTGATGAGCATCACAAAGTTAAGACCTAATGATGTAGTTAAAAATCACATGCTCATTCTGCTCCAAACAAGATGTCTTTCTTTTTTAACAAAAAATGCCGAGTTTAAGTACACACTATGGATGTAAGATTATTTGTTTTCTCTTTGCTGCCATAGTTTATCTTGATGTGTGGGGCAACATAGGAAGTCAAAAGGGATTAATTTGACTGCATATGTATTCTGGAACACACAAAAAATGGAAAGGAAAACATCCAACTATAAACAAATGAGAATTAATTGCACAACTCAATCAGAGGAGCATTAATTACACATCTCAATCAATAAAACCAACCTGCTCATGCCATCCCAAATAACTCTTAAATTCCCACTCAGGCAATTCACGGAAAGGTTCAAACTTCTTTCCATAATACTGTTCAACAACAGCTTTAAACTTCTCAATTCCCCATGAGCTGATCAAGTATTTCATTCTACTATACTTGCGGTCATCCCTTCTCCCATTTTCTCGTTGTGTAACAACAATAGCTTTCACTGCATACAATATATCTTCCTTTGGTACATAACCCAATGGGTCTGCCAGACGGGGAAATGTTGCTTCCTGTCTGTGTGTTCTTCCCATCCCACCACCAACCTGCAACAGAAAGGATAAACTATTTATAATTTGTTTTTCTAAAATATTAGAAGAAAAGAAATGTAAGGAAATAAATTGTGCATCTCACATAAATGTTGAAACCCTGAGGCTCCCCATTATCATCTGAAACTAGAACAACCCCAATGTCATTTGTGAGAATATCCACTGAGTTATCTGTAGGCACAGTAACTGCAACTTTGAATTTCCGTGGCAAGAACTGAGTTCCATAAATGGGCTCAGGTGAATCAGGGAAATTTGTCCCATGAGAATTATCATTGCGGGCCTTCACTACATGAGGAGGTTCTGCGGACATAATTCTCTCTCCATCCATCCACATATCATAATAAAAACCAGACTGAGGAGTTAGAAGTGCAGCAATATCTTCCGCAGTCTCCTGTGCAAAAAGGTAATCTTTTCTAGCAAGTGGCGCGGCTGGTGCAAGAACATTTCTGTTGAGATCACCACATGCTCCAAGTGTTGAACCCATGCTTCTAATGATGGTACTCATCACCGTCTTCAGGTCCTTCTTCAAAACTCCATGGAGCTGAAATGTTTGTCTGGTAGTCAAACGAAGTGTTCCAATTCCAAACTGATCAGCAAGATCATCCATAGCCAAGTAGAGTTCATTGGAAACCTTTCCACAAGGATTCTTGGTACGAAGCATGAATGAGTAAGACTTTGAACCACGTTCGTCCCTGTTGGTCTGTTGATAGCTTCCATGGAACTTGATCATTTGTGTAGCAGCCTCATTTATATTTGGAGTGTCTGTTAAGAGCTCTTCGTCAAGAGGGTATCTAATGAAGTTACTTTGTTCTTTAAAAATTTCAACTTTGCTACGCTTAGGCTCAGTGGAAGTATCTGGCTTGAGTGGCTGCAAAGATACCATATAAACTATTAGAGAGTGCCTACCAAATATATTTATGTTAATTACACTTCAAAAAGTTCACCATTTCTTTTCAATCAGAAGTAACATAAAGCCCTACCTCCAGCTTTTCTACAATGAAAAAAAAAAAAAGGATCAAATAATGGTATGTTACACAAGTTTCCACATAAATCAAGGGCATAAAAAAAGGATCAAATAATGGAAGAGGAGCCGGAAGACTTGGGTGCTTTCTTCCCATTGTTTGTTTTGGTCGGTATGGTTGGAACGGAATAGGCAAGTGTTTTAGGATGAGTCCCATTCCGTTTCATGGTTAGAGAGAGTACATTATTGATGGTGTTGGAGAGTTGGGTTAAGGGTACAGTCAATTCAAATGTTTTGGTTTTTATCAATTTTGTAGAGGATTTGATTAGTTTGTTTTATTTATTCCTTTTGTGGGTTTATTTTTTGTATTATTTGCATCATCTTGATACTTTTTATAAAGTTTGATTATTTATCCAAAAAAAAAAATTGGGTATTTAGATCTTTCTTCAGTTCAAGATGTACCTTTGGTGGCCCTCAGAGGTTCTCAAGAAGGATTATCTGTCCTTCCCTGACATTTCTAAACACAGCCTTAGGAAATTGAATTAATCACAATTAGCCTTAGGAAACTGAATTAATCACAATTAACCCTTCATTAATCTCAGAATTCTCCTGAATATTACAAATGATTTCCACACTTTTTACGAATTTCATGAATTATTTATGACTATTATAGAATAATGAGACCTTATATTTTTAAGTTTTTCAATGCAAATATTATTTTTAAATTGAAAATTAATAATTTTTTTTCCAACTATTACCAATACATATATAGATATATATTTTTCCAAACGACTCCCAAATGAATTATTTTGATGTGAATAGTTACTGAATCCAAATTTTGTCACTATGTTCTCATATGACTTTTTTTCAAATGATTTGGTTATGCTTTCTACAAATATGGACTTTTAAAACCCTTACGCTGTGTTTGGTTGGCAGATTTGAGGAGGGATTTGGAAAGGGAAAGGAAAAAGTTAGATGAAATGTGAATAAAATATACTTACATTTCACCTAATTTCACACATTTTTTCCCTTTCCAAATCCCTCCCCAAATCCCCCAACCGAACACAGCATTAAATGGAAAAATACAGGGTTCTAAGAATCAAACAGAAAAAACCAGGTGATATCAATTTTGGAGAATTTAAGAGATGCTATAGGAATGTGCAGTAAGAATCAACTTCGAAAACCCTTAAATTTAGAAGGAATAATATTATCAGCTATCTTTTTCTTAAGCTGGTATTATGTGTAATATTGGAGGATTTAATGAAAGAAATGAAAATGGAAAAGGAAATGCAATCTCACTTTTGTTTGGTTATAATGGAAAGGAGAAGAAAATGATAGAGAAATACAATCCCATTTTTTATTTTTTGAGTTCACTTATGCCGTGTTTGGTTGGGAATTTGGAGAGGGATTTGGAAATGAAAAGAAAAAAAAGCGTGTGAAATTAGATAAAATATAAGTATATTTTATTCTCATTTCACCTACATTTTCTCTTTCTCCTTCTAAAGCATTTCCTAAATCTTTTAACCAACCACAGCTACTCTTTTTTTTCTTCATTTCCTAACTCAACCAAACATAGAATTTGAATCCTATCAATTTTTTTTTTTTATGACACTAGCAATCTAATCCATATGGACTGGACTAACATGATAGTACCTAAGAGGTTTCAAGCTTGAGAGCCAGAGAGAGAGAGGAGCAAACTCTTAAATCCCAAGACTACACCACTAGCCCTTGGGGTTTATCCTATCAATTCTTTCTGATTTTCTTTCTATTTCTCTTTTCCTATCCATTTCTCTCATCAAATCCTCCAACCAAACACATTCAGCTAGTACTTCTGTTCCTGTGTAACTCTCAGTAACCATTTTCTAACTTGTTCAGATACAAATAACTTTTCCAGGAACAAAATTTACATTTTCTAGGAAACAATTCATAAAATTGTATGCATGGCATAGAGTTACGAAACAATTCACAAATTAAGTTCAAATTCGTCCCAAAAGAAAATTAAAATACGAGTTTGAGAAAACAGACAACAGATCGAAAGAGTGGTTTTTGCTTTTGTTTTTGTTTTTGTTTTTTATACCGTTGAAACAGCTCTGATGATGGGACGATTGGAAGTAGAATCTGAGAAGACATGTATGCGCTTGTTCAAGAGCAGAGAATGCGAAGAATTCAAGCCATGAAACCTCTGAATTAGAACCTTCGGCTCTCTTGGGATCGCGGTGTGCGCAGCCCCGAACGACGTCGCCATCGCCAGAATGTATCAGCGTTCTCAGAAAACAAGAGCTAACCCTCGGAAAAAAACTAGGGCTTTGCAGAGTAAATACAGTTGTATATATATATATATATATATAGAGAGAGAGAGAGAGAGAGAGAGAGAGAGAGTTGGATATGTGGCGAATGAAGAAGATGAAGTTCACTTGAGGTCACGTGCCTGACACGAGCATTTTCGTTTAAACTTTGAAGGAAAGCCGAAGATCACGCGCTTCTCCCATCAGCTTTTTTGCACTCGCTGGGTATTGAGGATGTTTGGTGTGATATTTTTTACTCAACTTATATATTCTAGTTTTGAAAATATTATTTTGAATTGTTGAGTTAAATTTATTTCAAATAATTTCTAATTATAACAGTTTATTTAAGATTAGATTTTTAGATTTTTTTTTTCAAAATAAAAAAAAGACCCAAATGGACTATGGACTCTCTTTTCTTTTCTTTTTTTAATGAAAAATGTGAATTAGTAATTAGTAACCAAAAAAAAGTTAATTTAATTTGCAACTAATAAAGGTTAATTCAATTTATAATTAACAGAAATAAAAAGAATATTTATACATCAAAAATTTATTTTATAACTTATTTACTAAACACTACTCAGCAATTTAAATTTACAATTTAGCAGATGCAACAAACATATTTTGTTAAGTTATAATTTATAATATGTTTAAATAGTTATATCAAACACTTCCATATAAAATTATAATTTTTTTTTTTTTTATGAAACCTCTGAATTAGAACCTTCGGCTCTCTTGGGATCGCGGTGTGCGCAGCCCCGAACGACGTCGCCATCGCCAGAATGTATCAGCGTTCTCAGAAAACAAGAGCTAACCCTCGGAAAAAAACTAGGGCTTTGCAGAGTAAATACAGTTGTATATATATATATATATATATAGAGAGAGAGAGAGAGAGAGAGAGAGAGAGAGTTGGATATGTGGCGAATGAAGAAGATGAAGTTCACTTGAGGTCACGTGCCTGACACGAGCATTTTCGTTTAAACTTTGAAGGAAAGCCGAAGATCACGCGCTTCTCCCATCAGCTTTTTCGCACTCGCTGGGTGTTGAGGGTGTTTGGTGTGATTTTTTTTACTCAACTTAAATATTCTAGTTTTGAAAAAATTATTTTGAATTGTTTAGTTAAATTTATTTAAAATAATTTCTAATTATAACAGTTTATTTATAATTATATTTTTAGATTTTTTTTTTCAAAATAAAAAGATCCAAATGGACTCTCTTTTTTTTTTAAATGAAAAATGTGAATTAGTAATTAGTAACCAAAAAAAAAGTTAATTTAATTTGCAACTAATAAAGGTTAATTTAATTTATAATTAACAGAAATAAAAAGGATATTTATACATCAAAAATTTATTTTATAACTTATTTACTAAACACTACTCAGCAACTTAAATTTACAATTTAGCAGATGCACCAAACAGATTTTGTTAAGTTATAATTGATAATATGTTTAAATAGTTATATCAAACACTTCCATATAGAATGATATATTTTTTTTTTTTTTGCCTTGCTATTTTTTATAAACCACAGCTATTGGATAGAACATAAATTTCTAGCACTGAATTTTAAAATAAAATAAATGAAGAGTTAAATATCAATTTTTTAAATTTTGTTTAGAGATTTGCAAATGAAAATAAAATTAACTAGAGGATGTTAAAACTCAGGAAAATGTTTCGTAGTTCGAAAGGTCACCAGCCTGAATGGCTCGACTGTCCAAAACGACGTCGTCGTTTTGGGCAGGTTGTTTCTTTTTTTTCTTCTTCCTTCGAGAAACAGATGACAGAAGAAGAAGAAGAAGAAGAAGAAGAATGAGGAAATGAGAGAAGGAGAAGGAGAGAGTGGGAACAGATTTGTGACAAATCTGATATCCCAATCCGGTGCAATCTATGTTGGAGCGACAAATCGGTCATGCACTTGGTGGGTTTCAGTTTTGGACAGTTTTTTTTTTTCCTCTGTTTTTCTCTGAAACAGATGACAGAAGAAGAATGAGAGAAGGAGAGGAAAGAGAGAGGAGGAATAGATTTATGACAGATCTGATATCCCAATCCGATGCAAGCTATGTTGGAGCGATGAATCGGTCTACCACGCACTTGGTGGGTTTCAGTTTTTATGGAGTATTTGTTTGTAAAACCTGTATATTTGTTGTCATGGAAGTTATTAGATCACTAGTTTTTATGAACTTTTTTTTTTTTTTTTAATGATTAGGTGTGTTGGAAAAAACAAGTTGAAGAAAGGGAGAGAGGGAGAGAACAAAGGAACAAGTTGAAGAAGATGAAGGAAAAAACAGGGAAGAGAGAGAGAGAGAGAGAGAGAGAATGCAATGTGTGGGTGTAATTCAAGCACAGCAGCAGAAAGTTAAGTGAAAGGAAATACGGGCTTCTCGAGCCAATGAAGATTCGAGCTATGTAGCGGAGGCGTAAAACTAACTCAAAATGAGAAAGGATTCATCTCTGCCTGACATCATCTAATTAGTTAAGTCTATTTTGTGCCACATGAATAAATTGACCAAAAAGTCAAAGACATATATCTTTGTGGATATTCTTTGAAATATAATTATATATATATATATATATGTATTTATTTATACTATTAAATCTCTCAAATTTTTTTTTATGTGAATTGATTTGAGTTTCAAAGTGTCGACGACCGACCATCAACAGAGACACTAATAGTGCATTTTTTTAATGTATCTTGATTTTTTAACAGATTTAAAAACTCCAATCATCTTTTTTATTGAGCTTTTATAGTCAAATACATAAGGTATAAATTTTGTATAGCAGGTAGGGATGTAATCGGCTCGGAATGGTTGGTGTTTATGTGAAATTTTGCACCAAACTGATAATGTTGGTTTTATTATATTGAAAATCAATACAGATCAAAATTTTTATCAAACCGCACCAAACTGCACCGATTCAAACGGTTCGGTTCAATGCGGTTTAATCGGTTTAAGTACTTTCAAAATTAAGTCATTTCTTAAATTTGTAGTATAATAAATAATTTATATAAAAATATTAAATTAGCCATTTGTACACAATTTTAACCATATCTAATCTAACCATTCACAAAAATACAAATAAAAAAAAGTAATAAATACTAAGGCTTGAAGCTTTTTCTAAATTAGAATTAGAAACAAAATATAATTTCCGGACCAAAGTCTTGACATCAAAACAAAACCAAAACTTAAAGCAATCATCCTATAAGTCTAAACCACAAGTCTATCAATTAGAGTCAAAATATTCATTATATATTTAGTATGTATTATATGTAAATATATTCGGTCGGTTTTGGTGCAAATTGATGTAGAGTATATCAAAACCGGCACCGAATCGAAAATTGAAAAAAATCAATTTTTAAAACCGAACAGATCGATTCATATTAAAAAATCGACCAAATATGACCGATTCGATCGGTTTAGTCGGTTTTTTCGATTTTTTTTACATCTCTAATAGCATGCAATAATTTTGAAGGTATATATATCAACTATAAGCAGGTCTTAAGAGTCTCGTTTGGGAACATGCTAAGTAACTTTTTAGCTATTTAGTTAAAATATGAGTTAAAAAAATTAGTATGTTTGGGATGACTTTTTGACTTTTTACGGAAAGATATGTAAAAATTAGAGAGAAAAGAGAAAAGATAATCTTTGACTTTTTTGTATGAATTATTGAATTTTTAATTTTTTTAGTGATTTTTTAATTTTTTAGTTAAAAAAGTCACTTGTCAAACGATGCTTAAGTTTAATTGAACAATTTTATTATTGAGGGTTTTTTTTTTTTTTTGGTTTAACGCTATAATGTGCCTGTTTGGCAGAAATTATTTACAGCTTATTTCAGTTTTCAGCTTAATTTAAGCTATTCTGATGTGTTTGGTTTACCTTATAGCTTATAGCTTATAGCTTTGTGGAAGTCAGAAATCAGCTTATTCTTTGAGTGGGGCAAGAGATACTTTAAGAATAAGCTGAAAATCAACTTAAGTTAAAAGTTAAAAACTATAAGCTGTTTAGGCATAAGGTATAACCACTTTCCCACACCTCTACCAAACAGGATTTTGTACCATCATATTTTGCTTTCGTTTTTCCGAAGTGATGAATCTACCAACTTTCATTTGATGCGATCAAAAGGATTATGGAATTTATCAATTTCTTTTGTTTCAAACTGTACAGGTGGCGGGGGTAGGAGGTGCCAAAAGCAAATTTGACTGGAGTTGAGTGAGGTTCATTGAACCTAGACAACGACATCTTTGGTGCACAAAAGGATCAAGCACCGGCTGCGGCTCTAAATTAAAATAGAGTATTTTATTAGAAGGATGGTTTTTCTTTTTTTAATTTATTTATTTTTTTATGTTAGCATCGTAGTATAGAGCAATTAGAAGGTTCGTAGGGTTTATTATAAAATCTCGTTTCAGAGCAAGTTTTTTTTTAGTATTTTTTTAATTTTTTAATTAAAATATGATGTAAAAAAAATTAATATGTCTGAGATGTTTTTTTAATTTTTTATGAAAAGATGTGCAAAAAGTAGAGAGAAAAGAGAATCTTTGACTTTTTTGTATGAGTTGTTGACTTTTTGATTTTTTTAGTCATTTTTTAACTTTTTGACAAAAAAAGTCACTTGCCAAACGAGGCCTAAGTTTTGTTTTGATAATTTGAATGGTTCACTTTATAGGAATTGTTAAGTAAAATATTTATTTAAAAAGTCAAGATAATTATATATCAGTAATTATATGTTTGAATCAAATTTATATTACGAAAAATATATGGTTATTTTTGAAATTATACTTGTTATCCATTTTTTAAAAATAAATATGATTTAAATATATATCTATCGGCATCTAATCATCATATTTTTTTACATGAATATATTTTACTCAAAGAGTTTAAAGTAGTGAACAGTTTAGATTATCAGAATTGATTCTAAAATAGGTCTATAAAATTCAAATACCCTCTCAAATTAAGATCTTAACTTAAGAGGAGCCAAATCCTTTATCATACGATAGCCCCGTTTGAAAACTAGTTATTTTAGTTGGCATTTTAATTTTTTGACTTATTTTAACATGCTAAAAAAGTTATGTT